GGAAACATGAAATATGAGACGTTGTCAATGGATTTGCCCAATATTTTAACAGCGTTTATACTAATACCACCCCTGACTTATCTAACTTACAAAGTAACTTCTTGAACAACTCCTCCTTACACATTAATAATTTTTCTGTCAACGACTTATTGAATTCAATCTCAAAACTTAAAAATAATTATTCTTGTGGTGATGACCAAGTACCTAACTTTTTTATTAAAGATTGTAATGATGTCCTGGTTTATCCCTTACTTATTCTATTTAATCTTATCTTGTCTACGAGTACATTTCTGGATGTTTAGAAACTAACCAGAGTGTGTCCAATATTAAAATCAGGTGATCCCTGTGATTTAACCAACTATAGACCAATAGCTCTGTTGTCAAACTTTGCAAAGGTATTTGAATCTTCCGTCTACACAATTATTTACAATAATATCAAAAATATTATTGAAGAAACTGGAGAACTTCGGATTTTGTCACTCTTTAATACAGTTAATCAAATCTTATCTTTATAATAGAAAATTATTTGTTTGCTATAATGGATTCAATTCTAACCTTGCCGAATTCTCTCAGTTTACCTCCACATATCTCGATTCTAAATGCCAAGTTGATGTAGTGTACACGAATTTTTCAAAGGCCTTTGATAAGGTTAACCACGGGATTTTATTGAAGAAACTGGAGAACTTCGGATTTAGTCACTCTTTAATACAGTTAATCAAATCTTATCTTTATAATAGAAAATTATTTGTTTGCTATAATGGATTCAATTCAAACTATTTTGTTGCTACTTCTGGAGTTCCTCAAGGATCCAACTTAGGACCTCTTTTGTCTAATATTTTTATTAATGATTTATCTTTAGCTCTGTCTTGTCACCACTTACTTTTTGCTGATGACTTAAACCTTTTTTATAAAATATCCAGTACACAAGATAGTTTTTACCTTCAAGAGCAATTGGACACAGTAGCTAATTGGTGCAATTTAAATGAGCTGTCACTTAACATTAACAAGTGCAAAATATGTACTTTTACCCCTAAAGCTTTGCCTATTGTCTATCCTTTCTCGCACTGATACAATCAAGGACCTAGGTGTCGTTTTTGACAGTAAACTTTTATTTAACGCTCATATTCAAAGTACATCCTCTTCCACTCTTAAACTTCTGGGTTTTATAAATCGTAACACATCTATTTACAGCTCTAAACGCACTATATTGCCAACTTATTCGTTCTAGACTAGAATACTGCTCTATTATTTGGTACCCATGCTATCAATCTCAAATAAATATACTTGAAAATATTCAAAGACCTTACCTTAAGCTGATTTCCTATCGTACAGATAGAGTTTTCCCCCCTCCCCCCTTGGTATTGATCATAGCATTTTACTCGCACGGTTCCATTTTAACTCATTACATGTTAGAAGACTAGTTTCAAGCATTAAGTTTCTTTTTAAGTTGTTTAATAACAGGATCGATTCTCCTAATCTCCTGTCGCAAATAAACATTTTTGTAACAAGATTGGGTTTACGATCGGAGACTTTATTTTATAACACAAACGCTAGAACAAATATTTTAAGTCCCCAATACATGTTATGTGTCAAAACTTTAACCAAATTTGTTATTTATGTGATTTGTTTAATGATGGTTTTAGAAGTGTATCTAATTCAGCCATGTTATTTTTTTCCTTTAATACTTAAAACTTATATTTGTTATTGTTTTGTTAATTTGAGGAATAGGTAAACGATTTATTTTTTGTTACTATAAACACTTAATAATAATAATAATAATAATAATAATAATAATAATAATAGATTTATTACCCAAAAACAAAAAAGTACAAGAAAAAAAAAAACATATAATACAAAGTGAAAAAGTTGGGTAAAAGGAGAATTGCTCAGATTTCCAAATAAATTGGAATCTGCTCATCCGCAGTCCCCTGCAAGACAAATAAAAATAATTATAATTATTAACATCCCAAAAAACTGTAAAAATATTATTAAACTAAATATAAAGTAAGTAACAAAATAATAAAGAAAAACAAAATTACAAAATTGCTGTTGTAAGATCACTGGCTCTGTAATAATAAACTTTTTAGATTGTACTTGTAGGTATTGACAGAAGCATCAAAATCGTAAATGTTGTAGGTATTAACCAACTTGCATATGTTGTATGAAAATGAACGTTTGTAGATCTCTTTTTTATGCTTAGGCACATCTAAAATAAATTTTCTTCTTATATTTAAATTGTGTATGTCTGTTCTAAACCTGATTTTGTCCAACAAATATGCTGGTTTTCTATATTTTAATATGTTGTAATAAAAGCAACACATATGTAAAGTTCTTCTGTTTATCATAGACAACCACCCAGCTTCCAAAAGTTTATGACTGATATGCTCTCTTCTTCTGACACCAAAAATTAGCCTTAAACAAGCGTTTTGAAGGATTTGCAGTCTTTTAATATCAACACTGTCAAGATTTGGTCCATATACAACGTCACAGTAGTTGCTATGGCTTAATACCAGTGAGTCGGACAGAATTTTTTTTGTTTTACAATTTAAGTAGTGTCTATGTGGATAGATCATTTTTAAGCTTCCATAACTCTTTTTAAGAATGGTGTTAACATGAAGATTAAAACGCAGTTTGCTGTCCAACATAAGGCCAAGGTTCTTAGCATTACATACAAATTTTAGATCCATGTCTCCTAATTTAATTTTCAGGTTACTAGCGATAAAAGGACGCATGGAATCATTAGCAAATACTAAGACAGAGGATTTGTCAGGATTAACATTTAATTGATGATCTGTTGATTTTTTAAGTAGCACTTCAAGGTCTCTATTAATATAATTTTCATATTGTTTTAATTGATCTGCATTAAAAGAACAATACAGTTGAGTATCGTCAGCGTAGACGTGATATTGGCAGAAATTAAAAGATTCATAAAAGTTTGATGTATACAAAATATATAATAGGGGTCCCAAAATGCTTCCTTGCGGAACTCCCGACAAAACTCCTTCTGAATCAGATATTTCATCATCAATTCTTACTCTCTGCTTCCTATCGCTTAAAAATGATTTTATAAATCTTATTGCATTGTAATCAAGGTTTACATAGTGAAGGATAGAAAGCAAGATTTGATGATTGATCATATCGAATGCTTTCGAGTAATCCAAAAGGACAAGAATGCTGACTTTATTCTCATCGTAAGCTTTAATAATATCGTCAGTAATACAAGAAAGAGCAGATGCACAGCTAAAGCCAGGGCGGAAACCTGATTGATTTTTAGGTAATATTCCATGACCCTCAAGAAAAGGTCTAAGTTGACTTTCAATAATTTTTTCTAAAATCTTCGATAGAACCGGCAGCACGCATATAGATCTAAAGTCATTTAGTGATGTAGGTTTACTAATTTTAGCAATTGGAGTTACCAATGCCTCTTTCCAAGCTAGAGGAAAGTATGCATTTTCAATACATACATTCATTAAATGAGTAATAACCGGTACAATATTAGGGCAGCATAAAAGAAGTAAATTAATATTTAAATCGTCATGACCAGTGGCTTTACTTTTAATTTTACAAATAGTGTTTCCCACCATTGTTTCATCAACTAGCATGAAGTTAAATAAATTCGGAAAGTTATTTTTTTGTGACTATTGTAAAAATCCAAAACCGGTTGGTGTGGTACAGTATAATTGTAAAGATTTTTGTAAAATTTACTAAATTTATTTACATTTTTAAATTCATTTGGAATATCCAAATTTTTATTTTTGCTCAGACTTAGCTTTTTAAGTTCGTTCCACTGGTTTTTTGCATTGCTGTTTCTAAATTTAAAATTCATATAAGCTTTCTTCTCATTTCGTATGGCAGTTGTGGTAAAATTTCTAAGTTGCTTGTAGTAAAGCCATTGGTTAGGAGATTTTGTTTTTTTAAAATTCAGAAGAGCCTTATCACGTAGTTTTTGTAAAAGTTTTATATTGTCTTTGATCCATGGGGCATACTTTGAATGTTGGTTTATTTTTTTACAAATATGTGGCGCGTGTGAATTGAATAAATCTACAATTTTTTTATTAAAATACTGAACCTTATTGTCGATGTTAGTCATTCTATATAGGATTTGCCAGTCAATCGCGGTAAGATCGTTATTAAGTTTTTGCAGGTCAATATTTTTTAGATTTCTAAATTTGATATTTTTTTTAGTTGTTTTATCTTTTTCGATTTTAAATGTACATGATATTAACTGATGATCTGAGATATTGTTTTCTATAACCGAATAGTTGTTCAGTTCTAGCTCATCTGTGTTTAGACAAATCACATCTAATAGCGAATTCGATGTGGCTGTAATTCGGGTAGGCTTATTAATAATCTGTTTTAAACAAAAAGAATCTATCAATGAGTGTAAGTTTTCACTATTTGCTGTAACTTGTAATAAATTAATGTTTAAGTCACCTAACAAAATAATATTAAAATCTCTTGTAAAAAAGTCTAACAATGTTTCATTTAATGCCTCAAAGAATCTCACCACGTTGCCCTGCGGCGGTCTATATACTGACCCAATTGCAAACTTTTTATTTGATAACTGAATGTTTACCCAGATGTGTTCGATGTCTACAGAGCACTCACTAAGCAACATGGATGATTGATAATCGTTACTAATGTAAATTCCAACGCCCCCTCCTCTAAGTGGCCTGTCTTGCCTAAAAAAATAAAATTATCTAGGTTGACCGCGTTGGTTGTACGATCATCTAGCCAGGTTTCTGTAATACCAACAACATCATACGAGTTTTGTAGAACATGATCTTGAAATTGGTCAAAACTTGACAGCAGTGATCTTACATTTTGATGAGCAATTGTAAACATTATTTATTTTGGAATACAACAGTAATTATTAGGAATAATTTTAAAAGGCAATATTGGGGTACACAAATTATAAAGTATGGTAAGGTTATTTAATTTTTTTTTTAATTAAGTTAAATTTTTGGTTTTGTTGTTCTGGTATCGTATCGTTTGGGGACGGTCCCTGTTGGTTTAGAAGGTGTTATGTCCAATTTTCTTTTGTTTTGTTTTTGTTCTTTAGATTTAGAGTTATCTTCTTCTTCCAGGTGTTCTTCCGCGTTATTTAATAATTCCTCCTGTTCTTCTTTATTAAATATTTCACTGTTTTTACATAGGTCTTTATTATTTACAATAAGTTTATTTTTAACAATTTTAGCTTTAAATTCCTTTTCTTTTGCCTCCTTTAAGTACTTATTAAGTGTTTTTCGTTTGGAGTATTCTTCGCTTGTGTAATCTGGTGTAAAATATATTTGCCTTCTTTTTAAAGCTTCGGAATTGGCAGCAGCTTTTTTGAAAATGTTTGTTTTCAAAGGATAGTTAACTACCTCCATAAATACGGGTCTCGGTTTATTTGTCTTTTTGCCTACCCTGTATATATCTCTAAAATCCTTGACAGAACAATTTATATTTAGGTCTTCTTTTAAAATTTTTATTATGTTTTCTTCAGTTCTATTTTCGTCTTCCTTTAGTCCATATAAAAATATGCTGTATTTCTTTTGTTTTCTTTCGATTTGTAAAATTTTTTCAGTTAACGCAATATTTTCGTTTTTTAATTTTAAATTTTCAGATTTTAGTTCTTGTAGCTCATCTTTAATTTCGAGTTTTAAGTTATTAATTTCGGTTGATAGATTTTTATTTTCTTGTTTAATAAGCGCATACAGATCTTCAAGAGTTATAGGCATGATTATTTACAAATATGTTGCAGCCGAGCAGGCAAGACGGGCGACTGCGAAGCGGAGCCAGCAAACAACACGGGTTCGAATCCAGGCAAAAGACCCTTATTTTTAAATTAAGACGGAATGTTTTTTTACACTCGACCACTTTTTATAGTGTTTTTATAAACATGACAATTTAATTTCAAACGTTTTACAATACAAAACTCACGTTTAATTTGTTAGAAATCAAAAGTTTTTTGAGACGCGACACCACACGAATACATTCGTTTTTCTGTACATCAGGATATAATCTTTAAGTTTTAATATACACTTTAACCACTTGTAACTTATAATTTATTGGGAGCACAGAGTACACGTGTACACGTAGTTGGTTTGTGGTGTTGTTATTACATATTATGTGTCCTGTAATTGGAAATATATATTCTGTTAGGCAATAAATGTTATTATTATTTACTAAAGAATAATAAAATAGGCTTAAAACTTATGGCTACAAATAAATGTTTAATAATTAATTTTTTAATCACATAATATGTAGCCTTAATGCATAGATGGCTAACAAGTTAGAACGCTTCTCTTAGTTTTCGTATATATTCCATAACAATATGGTAGAAGAATATGAAGAATATTAAGAATCTCGCGGATACTTTTAACTCAATTTTAGAAGATATAATAACTATGTAGTACATAAACATGTACATGATTTGGCTGGAATTGGTATATAAATTGTTTCATATATAGTAACTTAGTTAATTATATCCTTTTAAAACTTACCTCATAATTTTTTTTTTTAATTTATTTAGCTTCCATGATGGGTAGGTGTTTAAGATAAAAAGAAAAGTACATGTTTAATTAAATTTATTAAAATAAAAAAACATTTTTTAAATCCAAAAAAATAATTTTAATAATAATCTAAAATATAAAAAATTAACTCAAATATATAACTTAACCTAAAATATATAATTAAAACCTAAAATATATACTTTTTTTTTTAATTAAAATTAAATACTAAAATATAATATCCTAAAAATATAAACTAATATAACAATAATAATACACTAATAATAATAATCCAAAATATACAAATTTCACCTAAAAATATAATTAAATTTAAATCTACAAATAATTGTTACGATTAGGCAATAAACAAATCGTCGTAGGCTAGCTCTTCAGCATCATCAAGATCTCATCATCGTCAGAGTTTTTATCGGTGGATATGCTATCCCCCAAGCAAGCAGTGTGCTTCCCCGTCTTCTATGTGAATCAAGATTTGTGGGAATCAAATCGAACAGGTTGCGCCCCGTGCAAAAAGTGCACCAGCTCCGTGGGTGCAAAAAAACGTCCACCAGTTCATCTACCCTCATGGAAATATGCGCTTTACCATATAGTTTTATAGGAAAATCTCCAAATTTTTGTATGCATTCAATTTGTATGCATAAGTGGAAAATCCTAGTATCGTAAAATTTGTCTATGATGCAGGCAGGCAGGCAATATTGTGAGTCAAATCTCAACAACAAAACGGTTCTCATTGTGTCCCCAAAAGCGCCTTATTGCCTCCTCACCCCAATAGAAAGTAGTTAGGCCGAATATGACTCGTAGTAAAATTGTATTCACCACTTGGAAACACAGTCTAACATTTTGCAATCTGAGCCAATGGTTATGACCTGACCGAATAGTGTTCTTTATTGCTCTCAAAAGGGCATGAACTAAATAAATGTAAGATTTCATATTTCTTTACATCGTCAACTAAATGATTTAAATTTTAAACATTGCTTGTTATCTTCACCATAGATATCAACAAAATGTTCTACAAAGTTTTCTAGTAATGTCTGTGCTACATTTAAGCTGGTTTGATATTTTTTAGAAGAACAAATAGTAACGGCACAAAATAAAATAAAAAATGCTGATAGACTTTAATTGCCACAGTTTTTTTTAAATAACTATACTATAAAAGATCTAAATTCTAATCCCTTCCAAAATGCCAAAACATTTATACCCCGAACCTTTCGGTAAAATTCTGCAGGCAACTTCACTTCTTCCAATAGTTTTGAAATTTCTATTGTAGTTCAAGCAGGCCATTTGCTTTTCGAATTTTCAAATTTTCCATCACGCCAGCCACACAGTAGTTTTTCATATTTCTAGTGAAGTGAAAAGAATCACCAATTGAAATATCCTGTACCATATCCATAGGAAGCTTCAGTAAGGGAAAGTCATACTTGTGGTAGAGCTCATCTTGTTATCCATAATCAGTTCTCTTTTCGCATGCTTTTTGACTAAAGTAGTTAGTCCTGGATAAGTAAGAATACTGTCCTTCAAATGTGCATTTTTGACAACCATGTTGGGAGTTGAAATTTGCTACACCTAAAAAAGAAAAAAGCTTAGACGCTGTTTATATTTTTGCCCTAAAACTTATTTTTTATAAAAGATCTAGATGGCGAATCGCATATAAAAGACCTAATTTTAATCATCTTTAATCTGTTTTTTACATTAATACCTATTTTTTAAATTTCTGTTTTTTCTTCTAAAAAGCTTTGTAAAAATTTCGTTAGGTCAGACGGCTTTCTTTTGTCCCAATAAATACCAATTATCATGGATGTTAAATAGTATAGGCCAAAATTCATCTTTTGAAATCCTGTGTAATGGTAGGCCATCAATATTTAAATTTATGAACAATTGTTTTGGTGCATCTATACAAAAAAGAAAAATCGCTAAACACTTTATTCCGTGGTGCTAGTACTGACCTGTCTCACCTATTTCCAAGAACATATCAATTTTTGCTGAAGTTTTGAGAAATGTACGAGGGTCTTTCGCAGTGTTGCCAACTTGGTAATACCATTACCAGATCTGGTAATATAAACTCAGTTTACGTAATGAAGTTTTTTAAAACAGTATCTAGTAATATTTTTAGTAATAAGGAATTTATTTAATAATTCTCGTATTTTCGTATTAGTCCATTGCAATGCTAAAATCAAACTTTGCAAACAGCGAAACTGCCTTGGACTCGGTTTAGACTACCCTTTCAAAATTCGAATTTTCTAACGCGCTCAAACGCGAACCGGAAGTATGACACGCAGTTTTGCCAAGTCTCATGACATAATCTAGTGTTTGTGAGTAAAAGCCATGCGAGGGCAGTTCTACAGTTTTTTAAAATAAAAAGGTATGTTTGTGTTACTAAAACTATAATTGCGTGTCCCAGGGTGTCCCAAAAGTAAACGATATCCTTTGAAGAACTAATAGGTCAGCTAATGACTAATCAGAATATCAAAACTTGACCTTAGTAAAAAATCATTAGTTTTTAAGATATTGTCATTTTTAAGAATTTTGTGAAACTTGACCTAAGATCAGTTTTTTGAGTGCCACAGCTACAAAATTCTATATTCTTACCCTGAATAGGCCTGCTATTAATTAAAATTCAAAATTAAACTAATAGTAGATTTTGTAGCTGTGACACTCGAAAAACTAATCTAAGGTGTCAAGTTTTACAAAATTCATAAAAATGACTATATCTCAAAACCAACGATTTTTTACTAAGGTCATGTTTTGATTTTCTGCATGGTTAGTCATCGTTGACTTTTGGGACACCCTGTATATGTACATGTAGTATAGTATAGTAAATATCAAAACAAATTTTAGATGCCCAAGCCGCAATACACACAAAAATTTAGACCACCTTGGCTAAAAGATCCAGAATTTTCGAGATGGCTTACTGTAGTAGATAGCACAGCAGGCCCCAAATCTAAATGCAAAGTTTGTGGCCTAATTCTGCAATATAGGTATTAAAAACAGATAAATCGTCAGCAAACACACAAAGAAAATGAGAATATTGTATTTGGTAACGCACAAGCACGAATTCCCTTTAAATATGTTTTCCAATTGAATGAACAAGCCTGTCATTTATCTTTTATTGCAGTAGATTCTACTGAGTAGATCATTTGGGTAACATATGTTCTAATTAATTTACAGGACATATTGCTGCTGATAATTTAATGTTACACAGTACAAAATGTTGCAATATTATTAGAAATGTTTTGGGGCCCTATTTTTGTAACCAATTAAGAAAAGATATTGGAAACTCACCGTACACGCTTAAAAAGAATTAGTTGAAGTCAAATAAATTTGCTTTGGATCAAATAAATCTTAGTTTTGTATATCCGCCACGAACTATTTTTTTAGAATAAAATATTATTTTTCTTAATTGAAAGAATTAAATAGGTCTGATTAAATAAATTATTTTTAAACGAAAGTATAATTATCTTATTTAAAAAAATGTATTTTTTAAATTACTCGAATAAACTTAAAATAAAAACATTTTAATTAGTTTAATACAAAATATTTCTATTTAATTTAAAATAACTCATTCAGTTCACTAAACAATCTGTTCTTTTGAATTAAAAATATAATTTCTTAATAATAAATAAATACATTTAAATGAAAAAATCAAATACAAATTCCAAGAGAACGAGATTCTTTAATGAAGTAATTTTATGGAAGAATATATTTCTTAATGGCCTGTTTCATTTTTTTGTTGTAAATTAATAACATTTTTATGGAAATGCTTATAAATTGTTTTAAACAATTTTAAAATTTAATACAAAAAAGTAATGTCTAAATCAAAAAGTTCAGTATTTTGAATTGAACAAACTTTGGTTTATATTTAGCATCATCAGCATCATTTAGCATTTCGGGTAAATAAAAAACCAAATTAAAAAAAAAATTATAAACAAACAAAAACATATAATTTATACATAAAATACGTACATAAATATTATTTCTAAATTTGTACATTTGAAACAATATTTAAAACAATATAAACATAAAAAGAAAAAAAACTAGCTAAACCTAGGGTTAAAAATCTCTACTTTAATAAGGTATTAAATCGGTATTTTGTCAGTAAATGATTGAAATATCAAGTTATTTTTAGCGGTATCTACAAATCTGAGAAATACTTATTGAAATCATATGGCATTTAGCGGTAGGCAACACATACTAAGTTATTGGGGGCGTATCTA